AAAGACTTTAAGGTTTTTGACTCAGAAAAAAATTCTAGCTATATTTTCTCTGTAACTGGATTGACAGGACCTAGAAATCTAATTTGCCAGATACTGGTCCCATGTATTTTGTGAGGATACTATGTATATTACCAAAATGCCTCATAATTCAATTTATGAGGTAGCCAAATAAGATTATGGGAGCTTTCTTTCTTTCTTTGAGCAGGCTGTGCTATGCTTATTAATAATAAAAACACCTCACCCACTCGTTCACTATAAAGGCACTATAAATGCCCTAGTGAATTATGTTCCCAAGTTTATTAGTAAGTTCGTTGCTTAAAAAATCCAAATGGTTTTTCCTTAGGCACAATGGTATAAATGGTAGTTATATTCCAAGCATAAACCCCAAATTTGATTGACCTCTAAATCATAGGAGTAAGACCAGTCTGAGTTACGGTTGCTAGGAGTCACATCTCTGCTGATCATTCTCCATTTATCACCTGCTCTGTGCTTTGAAAGGCTGGGCTACAAATGGATTCATTCACCTGCATTTCCTTGCAGGCTGGTTTTTACTTGGTTTTAGCCAAGAAAGGGCATGGATCATCGATGAGAGAGTAAGAGGAGAGTCAGGATGGGGTATTTCTTTGGCTATTCCTATCCTGCTTAGCTGTTGCCAATCTGGCAGTGGCTATGTTTCTCCAGACTACATCTCTAGCTGGGTGGCCCTTCCTCCAAAGCTCCAGCTCTTACTGGGCCATAGGGTCACCATTCGTTTGCTTCCTTTGTCCTCACCTTTTGGGGGGTATAATCGCTCCATGCTCATGCCAGTCTTTGGTGTCTCAACATCCTGTGTTGGTTCTCATAACCCTGCCCATGTCTCAGTTAGCAATTCCTTCATTAGGGGCACCTGGGTGGCATCTGACTCTTGATTTTGGCTTAGGGCATGATCTCACGGTTTGTGAGTTTGAGTCCCACATCAGGTTCTGGGCTGACAGTGCAGAGCCTGCTTGAAATCCTCTCTCTTTCTCTCTCTGCCCCTCCCACACTCATGCTCTCTCTCTCACTCAAAACTAAATAAATAAACATTTAAAAAAAAAAAAAAGAAATAATTCCTTTGGGTGCCTGGATGGCTCAGTTGGTTAAGTGTCCCACTTCTGCTTAGGCTATGATCTCGCTGTTCATGGGCTCGAGCCCCTCATCGGGCTCTGTACTGACAGCTCAGAGCCTGGAACCTGCTTCAGATTCTGTGTCTCCCTGTCTCTCTCTCTCTCTCTCACAAAAATAAATAAACATGAAAAAAATTTTTTAAAGAAATAATTCCTTCATTAAAATATCTTCATTTGTATGATCCATCAAGATCCTGACTAGGACAGTGAAGGATGAATGGGAAAAAGAATTTCTTATTTCTTTCCTGGGTGCAGATGTTGCTACCAGAATTTCAACCAGGATCATTCATGTATCTAAGAGATACTAATTATGCTCTTCTTATGTGCCATTCAGTGTGAACAAAACAGATCTAGTCCCTGCCTTCAAGGAATTGACATTCCTACTTGGGAAGACAAACTTAGTAAATACACAAACAAGTAAACAAAATGGTTATATATTCTGGGAAGTATAGTTTAGGAAATACACAGGATGCACTGATAGAGGATCATTGAGGAGGCAGGGCCATTTTGGATAGGGTGGTCAGGGAAGGGCTTGTTGAGAAGGTGACATTTCACTGAGACCTCCAGGTTGAAGAGGAGACAGCCACTAGGAAAAGAGCTGGCAAAGGGTGGAGAAGACGTGTTCCAGGCAGAAGTTGTTGAAAGTGTAAAGGCATGGGTGGGAGGAACGAACGTGGTCCACAAACCAGGACCTATGGCAGCTATTTGACTTCGAAGGAAATTGATGACAGATATTTGCAAGCCACATGGGGGTTGAGGAATGAAAAGTATGACTGGAGTAGAGGCCAGGTGGAGAATGGTACAAGATGAGGCTTGAAAGTTTGCTCAGAGAGTTCAGGGCAGAGCCCTGTAGGCCAGCATGAAGAATATGGATTTTATTCCAAGTATTCCATGAAGAGTTTCAAAGTACAAAGTGATACAATCTTGTTGGGATGGGCACTGGGTGTTGTACCTAAGCCAATGTGACAATAAATTACATTAAAAAAACAAAACAAAACAAAAAAAGTGTTACAATCTAGCTGCTCTATGGAGAAGGGCTTCAGGGGAAAACAAGTGGAACTGGGGAGAAGAGTCAGAATTCTATTACAATCCAGGACGAAGATGACTATGTTTTGCTGTAAAGAGGAGGGAGTGGAGATGTAGAGAAGCAGACCTCTTCGAGTTTCATGTTGGAGATAGAGCTGACAGGACTTGATAGGGAAGGGTTAGGAATGGGGTGAGGCCGGGGAAAGGGAAGACTCAAGGTGACTCCCAGGTTTCTGGCTTGGGCCACTGGCTGAATGGTGGAGATGTTAACTGAGAGGAGAAAGACTAGGGGAAGAATAGGGATGGAAAGATTGGTATGGTGAACATGTCTAAGAGTCACCCAAAGGTAAATGTCAAGCAGGCAGATGGCTCTCAGAGCCTGGGGCTCTGAGGACAGATTTGAGTTGTTTCTTAGTCAAGTAGATTCCTCAGGCCAACCTGGCTTAGGCCAAAAGTGATCTCCACCAGGCCTGGATGTAGTCACTAGAAAGCCATCTGGGGTTTAGGTGTAAAGCATGCCTAGATCTTGCTTTGTCATTAGTGTACATATTTTCTTTGAAAACCTCAAAGAAGGAAATGGCTGGTTGAAAACAAGATTTGAGAATTCCTAGGTCCCTGATTAAACACCATCATAATCTTGCCTCTAGAGTTCCTATTTTAACATGACTTAATGGTATATTTAAAGAAGAGCCTCCAGAGTCCAGTTTGGCAGACGTACAATAATGTCCTTATGGGGAGGCACCCATAATAAAATATAAGGTTCCAAGGCTTTTCATTCCGGTTGTCATGGCAACAGCAGCAAGAGCTCTGGAGGTAGGAAGAAGGAAGAGGGAGGCGAGTGGAGAAACCAGGAGCTGTGGTGTGGTGGCTGTTAGTCTTGGGAAGATAATTAAAGACAGATATTTGTAAGCTGAATGGAGAACATACCCTATAAATTCAGGCAGTTATAAGTATATAGTTTGTAATTGGACAATTTGTTCATTCTAAGGACCGGAAATACACTTAAAAGCTTTTTCAGACCCGGGGCCTGGGAGTACATCATGCAACTGTTCTATCCCCTGTGCCCATTGCACTGCCTGGAGCTCCATGTACTTGAATGAATGAGCAGATGAGTTCCCAAAAGAAGAAACACTACTTATTTTATTTGGGTTTTAAATTGCTAGGTGGACAGATCCTTTGGGTAAAGATTCTATTTTACATCAAAACCATATACATCTTAACTACAAGTGTTGGTGAGGATATGGAGAAAAAGGAACCCTCATGTGTTGTTGGTGGGGATGCAAACTGGTGCAGCCACTGTGGAAAACAGTATGGAGGTTCCTTAAAAAAGTAAAAATAGAATGACCATATGATCCAGCAATTCCACTACTGGGTATTTACCCAAAGAACACAAAAACACTAATTCAAAAAGATATATGCATCCTTATGTTTATTGCAGCATTATTTACAGAAGCCAAATTATGGAAACAAGTGTCCAGCGATAGGTGAATGCATAAAGAAGAATATATATATATGATGGAATATCACTCAAACATAAAAAAGAATGAAATCTTGCCATTTGCAACAACATGGATGGAACTAGAAAGTGTAAAGCTAAGTGAAATAAGTCTGTTAGAGAACAACAAATAAACACAATATGATTTCACTCATATGTGGAATTTAAAAAACAATAAAACAAAAAAGGAAACAAAGAGACAAACCAAAAAACAGACTCTTAACTCTAGAGAACAGTTACCAGAGTGGAGGTGGGTGGGGGATGGATGAAATAGGTGAAGGAGATTAAGAATACACTTATCATGAAGAACACCAAGTACTGTATAGAATTGTTGAATCATTATATTTTACACCTGAAACTAATATAACACTGTGTGTTAACTATACTGGAATTAAAATTTAAAAAAAAATTTTTTTTAACGTTTATTTATTTTTGAGACAGAGAGAGACAAAGCATGAACGGGGGAGGGTCAGAGAGAGGGAGACACAGAATCTGAAACAGGCTCCAGGCTCTGAGTTGTCAGCACAGAGCCCGACGCGGGGCTCGAACTCACGGACCGCGAGATCATGACCTGAGCTGAAGTCGGCCGCTTAACCGACCGAGCCACCCAGGCGCCCCTAAAAAAATTTTTTTTAAAGCATATTCATATTATGGTCAGTAATTATAGGTGACAAGCCTAAAAGGAAGACTCACCCCCAAACCAAAAGACCAAGTCTGGAAGTCTCACTCTCTAGGACTGATTCTAACAATCATTCACTAACTGTGGATGGGATATTATATAACTACATACTTCTGATGAAGGTCCATTATATAATAGGCTTTGGATTAGATTCTTGAGGTGATTAAATATTATTTATAAACTGAGGATCCAGGCACTTGGGTGGCTCAGTTGGTTGAGTATTTGACTCTTGGTCTCAGCTCAGGTCTTGATCTCAAAGTCATTGAGTTCAAGCCCTGCGTTGGGCTCCATGCTGAGTGTGGAGACTACAAAACAAACAAACAAACAAACAAACAAAATGTTTTAAAAATAAATAAATAAATTGAGGATCCTCAATATATTGAAAGTTGTGAAAGTGAAGAAAGGTGACAGTGTGGACAAGAGATTCCTGTCAACCCTAAAAATCAAGGCGACCTGGAGAAGGAAAATTCGTTCAAGGGTATGTAGTACATCAGGTGCTCACAAATATCCAGACATTCAAAAGGGCAAATCCCCAATGGTATGTACCCATCCATAGCCTATGCAAAATATCTCTCAAAACCTTTTGTTTATTTTTGCTCTAATTCTGTGCTCACCAAGCAGCCAATATTGTAATTACTAATTCTGTTTCCTTCAGATGCTGAAGAGAGTACTCTGGATGAGAAACACATATACCCCAATAACTGGAAAAGTATATCCTCCTTCTTCAAGTTGCGCTGAGGATAAAATTCAAACCCCACCAAGATCGCACAGACCTTATGATCTGGCCACTACTGATTTCTCCAAGCTCAACTCCCAATACTGCCCCCCTTCACTGTAAGTTGTAGTCACACTGGTTCCTTTCCATTTCTGAAACACTCCAAAATTTTCCCTGCCTACAGCCTTTGCCCTTCTAGTTTACCTGAGAGCAATGCTTTTCCTCAGATCCCCCTATGGCTGGTTACTTCTTACCAATCCTGTCTCAGCTAAATGTCACCTCCCCACACAGGCTTTCTGTGATCCCTGTGCCTACCATTGCAACCCTTCCCCTTTTTTGCCCCCCCACCACCACCACGGTCCCTAGCTATCCCTTAGCCTGTCTTATCACTATATAATCTCTTGTTTACTTTTTTATTATCTGATTCCCAAACTGGAATAAAAGTCCAACATAGCTGCAGCCCCAGCAATGACCACAGAGTTAATACTCAATAAATACTTGTGAAATCAAGTGAATGGGATGGGGCGAGAAATGACATATGAGCTGCTCTGCACTAGAGAGAAGAGATACAAATAGGGAGTGCGATCTGAGATAAATGGAACCTTCCCTTGTGCCCACAATGTAACTTCTACAAAGCACCATTAAAGTACCAGTCATTGCATATATTTTTGGTTTTGTGAGTCCCTTTACCCCAACTCCAGTGTAGACCATGAACAACTTGAAAACAAGAACCATCTTGTTCTTGTTGGCATCCCCAATGTCCCAATAAATGTTCACCGGATCCCTCAATTCCCTGCTGAGGGAAATCGGCAGTTCAGAGAAAAAAATAGAGACTTCCTGTTAGATGAGCTTTACTTCATTGGCTGGGTAAGCGCCTGCCAGAATGAGCAGTTTCTATAAGAAAACAAAAAGATACACCGTATGGTAGTGGCAGCACCAAAAGATAGCCTTAGGTGAATCCTTTAGCCCTCCATCTGTAGTCTCCATCAGCACCCTCCAAGTAACCTCCAAAAAGATTTCAGGCAACCCCCCAGCCAGATGGCCGGTGTGAGCTCTTCCTGCCTAGAAATGCTACCACCATGTCTGTCCATGGAAATCAGACAGAAACAGCGACTACTTGACAAAAGTCCAGAAACAGACTTATAAAAACATCCTAGCTGAAAGTAAGGGTGCACAAAGGAAGCACCAGTAAAGACCAGCATTCAACAAGGAGTGACTGGAAAGAACTGTTTAATGTTTTGAACACTGCCAAGCTGAGTAACATGAGACCGAACTTGTTATTTTGCTCGACTATATATAGTTTGCATCCTGGAATTCACTCATACTATATATAGTAGAGTTTTATTCATGCACTCCAACTGATTATGTGTGCTGGGCTGAAGTGTTACAGTGGTGCCAGAAATGAAGAGAAAATGGAAATCTTCCACAGACCTATGGGCATGTTCTTTACGCCCACTGCCATTTTCACTAATGCGTGGCGGCGGCAGAAAGCTAATTGAGACCAGCCATGGAATAACAGGCTAGAACCTCTGCTGCAACGAATGCCTCTTTTCAGTCTTTTCCTTGTGGAGTATTTATTTATTTAAGAACTGGCTATGGTCATCATTCAGAAATACAAAGAGGGTTTAAAGGCCCAAATAATTACCCAGCTTTTATAACAAAAGAGTAACACAAAAATAGTTTCTTGTCCTGTCTCACTCAAGAAAGCCAGTTCTATTAAACTGCTCATCATTAGCTGTTTCATAAATCTCAGTCTTTGGGATTTAAGTAATTTTAATTTAACTGCTGCTCTTTCTTGATTAAAATAGCAATTGTTCTGACCTGCTTCCTAAAGTAAAATGTTCTCTGAATAGCCTGTTTTAGGCTGAGAAACTCATTTTAATTTCGGAGTCTCAGGTCTCTTTTAAAAAGCTACTTTTGGTCATCTCCTTAAAACTGGAGATGTCTGGTAAAGTTCCTAAAGGGTCTTTACTGAGAGGGTAGTGTGGTAGACATATTTAGTGTTTTTACTGCCCAGCATCTATCATCCCTTATTGACAATATACCCCAGTTTCCCTTTGGGGTATTATTTCTCTCCTTTCTACCAACACACTTCCCATGAAGCACACTTCACTCCTGTGCCCACAGCACAGCCAATGGTAGCATGCTATCTCTTTGATTACAGGGATGGATTGGGAGTTGAGCACATGGTTCAAAATAGGCCAATCAAAACCCATAAGACTCGGGCAGCTGGGTGGCTCAGTCAGTTAAACATCTGACTCTTGATTTCAGCTCAGGTCATGATCTCATGGTTCATGAGTTCAAGCCCCACATCAGGCTCCATGCTGACAGTATGGAGTCTGCTTGGGATTCCCTCTCTCTCTCTCTCTCTCTCTCTCTCTCTCTATCTCTCTCGGCCCCTCCCCCACTCTCTCACTCCTCAAAAATAAATAAATAAACTTAAAACCCATAAGACTCAATTCTGGGACTTTTACTGGAGCTCTTTGAGGAAAAGGTGGTCTTTTTTCTGTAATTGGTTGTGGTGGTCTTGATTGCCCATAGCTGCCATAGACCACTGGCAACTATAGAACAGAACTAACTCGGGAAGTAGAGCTGAGGATCCCGATCCCGATCTTCCAAGTATTTTTTATTTCAACTTAATTTTGTTTTTCATGATTCCAAACTAAAAGGTATACACAAATAGATTCTACTCTTTCTCTTGCCCCACTCCAGCTCTTTTCCTTAATGGGTAATAATTTTTATTGTTTTTGGTTTATTCTTCCAGTGTTTCTTCATGCAAATAAAATAAAATATGAATATATTTTTTACTTCCCCCTTTTTGTTCTGCATGAATTTTATTTCTTCAATATATGTTCATTCAAGGAATACCCTTCTTTGAAATTCTATGGTGCCTTTGATTATTCCTGGTTGCTTTCCACATAATATTTGAAATGGCTCAGAGCCTTATTTAGCATATCCTACCACTTCTCTGCTTTGTTACCCTGGAGACATCATGATTTAATACTGGAGAATCCTATTTCACCAGAATTAGAGAATTCAAATTGAGGAGCTAAAATGAGGGTCCAATGCCAAACTAAAAAAAAGACTTTCTAGAAAGTCTAATCTGAATACTACCAAACAGAGACTATTTCAGGCAGTGGGGGAAAAGTAGAGGGGGATGCCAAGAAGCCTAATTTTTTAGACCAAAAACAGAGATTGGCAGTGACAGGTACCTGAGCAGATAACCCAGAAAGAAGAGTATACATTGCTACCAAATGATCCATTATTTTGAATAGATGTCAAATTCAGTTCTTTTGGTTGGTCAGAAATCTCTGATCAAAGTAATACACTGACCCACATGATCTCTTTTTTTTTTTTAATTTTAAATGTTTTTATTTTATTTTTGAGAGAGAGAGAGAGAGACAAAGAGACAGAGTATGAGTGGGGGAGGGGCAGAGAGGGAGGGAGACAATCTGGAGCAGGCTCCAGGCTCTGAGCTGTCAGCACAGAACCCAACACGGGCTCAAACGCACGAACCCCGAGATCATGACCTGAGCCAAAGTTGGACGCTTAACTGACTGAGCCACCCAGGCACCCCTGTTTGTTTGTCTTTTTAAAGTTTATTTTGGTCACTTTTTCTTTTCTTATATTGCAGAACTGTATATTGATATACCCAGTGAGGGCTGATATTTTCTCTGGCTTGGATAGATTTTAAACGGGTTACATAAACACATTACCATTTATGGTTTCGTGCAGGTCTTTTTCTTTTTTAATGTTTATTTATTTTTTTGATAGAGAAAGACAGACGGTGAGAGAGAGGGGGGCAGAGAGAGAGGGAAACACAGAATCTGAAGCAGGCTCCAGGCTCTGAGCTGTCAGCATAGAGCCTGAGGTGGGGCTCGAGCCCATGAACAGTGAGATCATAATCTGAGCCGAAGTCGGATGCTTAATCAACTGAAGCCAGGTGCCCCCATGCACATCTTAATAGAAGTAAATGAGCTAGGCATTCTGTTCTTTTATCCTTTAAGCATTAAATAAATAAATAAATGAATAGCATTTATCGCTTACTTTCTTTGTGATCTAAAATTCTAATTGGGGAGTGAGAAGAGTCATGAGAAATTTTTTTTTAGGTAAATATATTTGCCAATTGTGTTTTACCAAGCTACAAACCCCAAGGAATGAATGAAATACAAAGCAGATGTTCACAAAGAAAACAGACCTTCTAACAATATACTGCAGTAGTCCTCTCTCCCCCACCACCCCCTTCCCCCCACCTTATCCACAGGGATATATTCCAAGACCTCCAGTGAATGCCTGAAACTGCAGATAGTACTGATCCCTACATACACTGTTTTTACCTATACCTTGGAGATATTGTAGGTTTGGTTCCAGACGACCGCAATAAAGCAAATATCACAATAAAGCAAGTCAAATGAATTTTTTGGTTTCCCAGTGTATATAAAAGTTATATTTACACTATACTGTAGTCTATTAACTGTGAAGTAGCATTAAGTCTAAAAAAACACCAATGTATATACTTTAATTTTAAAATATTGCTAAAAAAATGCTAGTCATTGTCTGAGACTTCAGTGAGTGGTTAATCACTGATCACAGATCACCATAACAAATATAATAATAATGAAAAAGTGTGAAATATTGGAAGAATTACTAAAATGTGACACAGAGCAGAAAGTGAGCAAATGCTATTGGAAAAATGGAACCAATAGATTTGTTCCCTGCAGGGTTGCCACAAACCTTCAATTTATAAAAACACACTATTTATGGAGCGCAATAAAGTGAAGCACAATAAAATGAGCTATGGCCATACATACATACCTATGACCAGTTTAATTTACAAATGAGGCCCAGGGGCACCGGGGGGGCTCAGTTAGTTAAGCGTCTGACTCCTGGTTTTGGCTCAGATCATGATTTCAAGGTTTGTGAGTTGGAGCCCTGAGCCCTGCATCAGGCTTCGTGCTGATGGTGCCGAGCCTGCTTAGGATTCTCTCTCTCTCCCTCTCTCTCTGCCCCTCCTCTGCTTGTGCTCTCTCTCTCTCTCTCTCTCTCTCTCTCTCTCTCTCAAAAATTAATAAATAAACTTAAAACAGCAACAGATGAGGCACAGTAAGAGATTAACAACAAAAACTAATAATAAAATAGAGTAATGATATATTGTAATAAAACTTACATGAATGTGGTCCTTCTCTCTCTCTCAAAATATTGTACTATATTCACCCTCCTTCTCCTGATGATGTGAGATAACATGCCTATGTGATGAGATGAAGTGCAGTAAATGACCTAGCCTTAGGCTGCTATGGACCTTCTGAGAGTCAGAAGGAACATTTGCTTCCTGACCACAGATGACTGTGGGGGTGGAGGTGGGGTGAGGGGGTGTTGGGAACTGAAGTGGCAGAAAACAAAACCCCAGATAAGGGAGGGGGCAGGGGATTAATGAATAGTTTTGGTAAAACGTAGCCTTTGTAACTACGGGATAAAGCTTCATCTTTTCTGTCCTAAAAATGAAATATTTGTTTGCTGGTCAGGTGATGTTGTGAATGCATTTCCAGATGCTGGATCTTAGGAAACAATTATTGAACATACTTTATTCTCAAATATGTGCTACTATTAATTAAGATAAATGTTTTATGCTATTGTCAAATTTCAGTAATTTTGTTTTGGGTG